GCCGGGACGCTCCGAGGGCCGGGGCCGCCTGCGCCTAGAGCCGGGCCCGGGGCGGCGGCGGCTCGCGGGGTAGGAAGTGTCTCGGGCGGCGTGTCTGGGGCTGGTCTCCGAGTGTGTGTGCGAGTGCGTGTATGTGTGTGCGCGTGTGTTTTCTTAAGCCGGGCTATTCAAACCTGCTGCAATTCTCCGGTAAACAATGATTCATGGGGCTTAATGCAAATAAACGGATTGCAAACGGCGCGGTTCGCGCACTTTGCTGCCGGCCCGGTGGAGCGGCCAGTGCCGGATTTCTCCCTTTTTTTGCAGATCTGCAGAATATGGCGTCCCTGTCCTGTTTTAAAAATAAGCCAGGCTGCCATTTTTGTTTTTCTTTTGTCTGAAAATTTTAATAAAACTGTCTGAGAATGTGGGAGAGGCGGCTGGAAGCAGAGGGGGCACCCGAAGGGTTGGCTTTTTTCCTTTTCTTTGGCGAGAGCCGCGAGCCTTTCGGGGAGGTGAGACACAATGCAATTGCACTTTAAAGAAAAAAAAGGGGGGGAGCTGCCGGGTGATTTAGGGGAAAAGACTGGGAATTTAAAGTTAACTCTGAAAGTTTTCTTTTCTTTTTTTTCTAAGCTTTTTTTTTGAGGGGGGGAGGCGATGAGATGCCGCGAAAGGATCTTGGGGCCCATTATCTCCCCCACCCACCGAGCTAGCCGCCTTTGCAGGGTTTTTGGGAAAAGTTAACTGCCGGTTTGCTCAGAGCTGCGCAGGGGGATGTGGAGGGTTGGGGATGGGAGTTTTGGGGCAACGGGGGAATGTCTTTTGGAAAGGGCTGTGTACAAACGGTACTGTGAGGGACTAGATTCTCAGATTTGTGGGGAGAGGTCTGACCCTAGGGGCTCAGGTTTCCAGCTAAAACCCCGGACATAAGGGAATAATCCTGTTTTCACCACCCTGCCCTCCAGCAGTGTGGAGCCTCCAGGAGCCTGTGTAGGGGTGGGCCGCGTTCCTTCTTGGGTGGCCAGGGCCACTTGGTAGGCTGAATTCTGCCCGGGGCGTTGTGGGTACCCCCCCCCTCGCAACACCGCTGGGGAAAAGTGTGCTTAGCCTATTGCAGTTGGAGAATCCCTTCCCCAATCTGGTGGTCCTCCTGACACCACCACCCCAGAGCCGGCATCTGGTGATGAGAGCCCTTGGTGGTGGGCTTTGGCTGGGTCCAGGCCTGCAGCCCCGGTAGGTCTTGTCTGGTGATGAGAAGTGGCTGATTGCTAGTCCCCGGGAAATGGGCCACTCCCTTGCCTGTAGTTGTACCCCTTTTGCCACCTCTGCCCAACACCCTGGAGGCTCCCAAGTTGGAGGTGGTTTGGACTTTGTAAGTTCCTGAAGTATCTGGCTGGACAGGTCAGGACCTGCTGGCTCTGGAGGCTCAGAGGGGCCTGAAGACCAGGACCACAAATCTCGGTGACCACTGGTGTGTAAGGCCCAGGACTGGGCCTGGCCTTCCCCTGTGGGGAAGCCTGTCTGTCCTGGGAGGACCCTACTGCCAGCTCCCATCCCTGCCTACCCCCATTTCCTGGAGGGTTGATCCTCAGGTCTCATCCCTGGCTCCACTAGGTAGTGTGAGCTCCCTTGGGACAGAGTCAGGAGTTCAAGGCTGAGGCTTAGGGGTTCAGAGCTAGGCTTGCCTGGGCCTGAGGGTACCAACCCAGGTGTTTTTTTTTTAGATAGACAAATTGAGAGGTCCAAAAAAGGAAGTGACTTGCCCACAGTCACACTGCCAGGTAGAAAGAGAGCTGAGCCCAGGACTCAGATGTCCAGGCTCCTGCCGCTCAGCTCTCTTCACTGTTCTCCACTTGGAGCCTTGATGCCTGGAAGATTCGTTTTGGATGGAACTGGACTGGAGTGGGTCGGCACGACCCCTTCACTCTCCCTGACCCCCACTATCGAAATCCTTCCTCAGGGAAGGGCACTTTACAGTTTGCACAGTGTGGTGCTTGGCTGTTGCCATGTCAGGTGGTCCTGGAAACTCAGTTGGGGTGAAGTGTTCAGGTGGGGATAATTGGCTCCATTATAAAATTCAGGAAACTGAGGCCTTTGAGAGGTTGGACAGTGGCAGAAGAGGGCTTAAACTCAGGCCTGTGGACTCCTTTGTCTAGGCCTTTCCTGGGCAGACCTTGGTGCTTGTGGACAGGACTCTTTCCCAACTTCTAGTTTTTGTTCTCTCAAATTCTGCTGACCCCAGTGATTGGGCAAAAATCCAGAGGCCTACCCTCCCACCCTGAAGAATGTCAGAGATGGAGAGGTCCTGGGAGGTCATTCGGGTTCAGACAGGGAAGCCACTGGCTGGAAGTCACGTAGTGATTCTGGTCCTTGCTAGGACAAGAGTTGTGGCCTTTTCTCGCTTTTCCTCTGTGAGACCCTTGGGAGGACAGTGAACCATTCTACCCTCCACCAGCTCCACTGGCCCAAGAGGAACGGCAGTTGCTGGTGGTGGGGCTGGGGCTTGGGCTGGGGTGTAACAGCCAACATTTGGTGGAGACATGGGTTTGTCCCAGGGGCTGAAGAATAGGCAACCTGCAGTCTTAGGGGACAGAACAAACTGGTTCCAGGTAGAAGGAAGGAAGCTGGTGTGGGAATGAGGTCTGGCCTGGCACTTCCCTGGGCAGGTACTTCAATGCGGTGCCTCTCCATTCATTCATTATTCTACCATGGGTTAGTTTATTCATTCATTTGTTGCTAGACCATTCATTTATTTTTCCATTGTCCATTCACTATTGGCTAGATATTTCAGTAGTCTATGTGCCTGCCACTCACCCATGCATCCATGCATCCATCTATCCATCTATCCATCCATCCATCCATCCATCCATCCATCCATCCACCTTATCTGTGGCTCACCTAGCCCCAGTTACATGGATGTGAGCTACAGGTATACACCTCCAGGGCTTGAAAGCCCATGAGGAAGAAGAGGTGAGTGTGCAGGTGCATAAAGCACTGGCCAGAGCAGCGTTTCCTGGGTGTCTGCATGAGTCCCCAGGGAGAGTCTTCTGGAGAATAAAGAGGCTCCGAAGCACCAAAGGAATTGTCACAGTGGTGGACTAGGCTTCCAAGATCAAGTACGATTTGAGTCACATGGCTTCAGTGGCTTTCAGCACATTTTTTCCCTCTTTCAGCCTTCTTATCCTCATCTGTGAAATGGCAAGCACTCCCTCATGGGTTTGGGTAGTGATAACAGTGCAGTGTGTGCTCTGTCTCCCGGCCCTGGCCAGTGTGTGGTAGGGGCTCAGAGTACACACACTGAATTAAAAGGATTGTTAGTTACTGTTGTAGGTCCTTCCTTGTAAACCAGGGTGGTGGTTTTAGAATGAGCCAAATGATCTGGGGACCCTTGAAAGCCCCGCTCTATTTTGGCATTCCCTGTTGAGACTCACTGTTTCCTGGACGCTTAGAAGAAAAATAATTGAGGTCCTTTCTGGGCCTACAAGACCCTTTGTGGTCTGGGTCCTGCCCGCTTTCCAACCTTAGCCTCCCGGCCCTGCCCCCATTCTCACTACCTCTGATCACTCTGGTTTCTTTCTCCACCTCAGATTTACAAAGCCTGTTGGCAGGGTCTTTGTATATTCCCTTGCCTGGAATGCTGTTCCCTAAGTCTGTGCATGGCTGGCACCATCTGAATATCTTCTCCTCTAAGGGATTTCCCTGACTGTTTTCTCTAAAATTCAGTAGTTTCTTATTGTCACTGTCTGTCACATGGGCCTCTTTTTTTGTTTTCTTTTGCAGCTTTCAGCATCTGAAACCTTTTCATTTATTTGTTTGTTTGCACTTCTTGCTGTCTACACCACAAGAACGTGCTTAAGAGCCACATAAGCTTCTAGTATGGTATGGCCAAGGACTTAGTAGAGGTGAGACGAGGCTGGGGAGTCCATGTGTGGCACAGCCCTGGTGGCCTGGCGGTGCCTGAGAGATGCAGTTACACTGAAGTCTGTCTCCTCCTTCCCCTAGGAGGCCCAGGGTGGTTGTTAGGAAATAATGAAATGATTAAATCATGGAATCTAATCGTCCCAGCTTCTTCCAGTCTCAGAACCTTAGCATCTGAGCGGCTTTCCAGCTCAGAACCTTTGACCCTTGGAGTTTTCACATGATCCAGGCTTGGGTTTAGAATCTTATAACACTCACTGCCTTATTATTCAGCAACACAGTGTTCCCTTTGGGCCAGACTGCATTGTACAAGGTCTTATAAATATGAACATATTTAATCCTCATTGTAAT